AATGACAGTTGGACAGCAATAAATTTTATCTTATGGAGACGGCCAGTGAGCTTTTCCAAGAGAAATAGCAAACAAACGGCCCATGGTTGCATTTTAGTATCGAGAAAGATTGCCAGAAACTCATTCGCGTGTGAACAACTAAAAAGCGATTTCAGAAATTTTTCCTGCAATTCGCCTTTCGGAAATAAAAACCTCTTTCGAAAGACACTTTCCATGCCAGGTGTGACTGCTTATGCAACTGATTTCTCAATTTGACAGCCTTTCCGAAATTTATTGCATCGAAATATATTGCAACGTCTGACACGCTCTTATGAATGAACAAAAAGAAGAAAATATATTCGTCAATAACAAGAAAATAAAAACAAAGCAGATAAAAAACTAACAAAACAACAAACATTAAACAAACTGTAATCGAAATTAAGATGGTGGTGTAAACAGCTACAAATTCAATTTAAAATTGAGTATGGAAATTGTGCAATTAGGGCGGTGCAGAAACGCCCTTTTATTAGAAAAAAAGAGTTCATGGAACACTTCTGCTCTTGAATATACTAGTGCACACATCGAACAGATGAACTGCCGACACCGGCTAGCGTAATACTGGGATGATAAAATCGTATCGTCTTGGACTAGCTTTATGAAAATTCCAGTGGCGCGAAAAATGACATTTGACGTCAACTACAAAACATTAGATTTTGTTTGCAATTTTCTGTAGTTGTATTTAATATTAAATAAATGATCTGGCGATGAGTGATTCTGCTTATAAACTTAAGTACCAAAAATATAAAATACGTGTTAAAACTTGGGAGAAGGATTTTAAACGAAAATATTCTCGTATTCCATCTAAAGTAAGTAACCAGCTCCATATAACAATCAGCTGTATATAATTATTTTTTGTTTTAGTATGATATTCGAGAGGCGCCGCAAGAAATACGAGATTCTTACAAAATGTATTATAAGTTGAAGACTTCATTTTTGGAGGACACGTTGAATGATGTATTTGATGATGACGGATTCAATGTGTTGGAAATCTCTCAGGATGAATGCCATTCAATTGGAAAACACCACAACAATGAAAGTCTAGAGATGTCCAGCAGCATTGCAGCATTAGTTGGCGGTAACACAGGTTCCAGCATTCTCAATGAATTCAACCAGTGTGAAGAGCCAGCACGGCCGATTGCAAAAAAGGATTACGGAGAAAAAGTTGTTAAAGTATTTGATGCTGTAGAACTTTGCGAGTCAAATGAAAAGGCATGGGGCCCTGAAGTAAGCAAAAAACCCATTACGAAGGATGGAACAAAATGCCCACAAGAAGTTGACAATTTAAAAAAACCCTTCTTGTCTAATTTATCTGCCAAACTTTTTAAATCTACATCATTCAGCAAGCGCAATCCCAGAAAATCGCTTTCGCGTGCAAATTCGGAAACAAATTCGCAACTATTGCGACAAGAAAGTGCTCCCGGTATATGTCAACGTCCTGAAATACTACCCGATTTAGAGACAATCTTAGTCCAAAAGGCGAAAGAACAGCAATCAGCAGCTCTTACTGCTAATCCTTTGCTTTCAGGTAAGTGCATAGCTGTATGAACTTGATTTGGATTTCGGATTTTTGGACATATTTCAAAATGTGTTAATCCAACTAATTATTTTAAACTGCACAAAAAGTCACCAAATTTTTGGGATGCTGCTGTTGTTGTTGTAGCGGCTACAACAACCCCTCCCTGATCGGCTAATATCTCAGTCGTTGTCGTCAAGCTCAACTAACGGAAGCCCTAAGAAGCGTGTAGCCTCAATGGGGTCGGTCCACAGGGACAAAGGCGTTAGTTTTTTCGGGTTTTCCGGGCAAATGAAGAGATGTTTCAAGTCTGGGGTGTCTCTCCGCAAGCCGGACACTCATTTGGCACATCTGCGTCTAATCTGCTCAGGTATGAGTTTAACCTGCTGCAGTAGCCCGAGCGAAGTTGAGCTATTGTGGTTCTAGTTTCCCAAGGCAGATGAAGCTCCGTCTCGTTGTTGTTGTTGTTGTTGTAGCGGCTACAACAACCCCGCCCAGA